CTCCCCTGACCCACTTGCCACTATTTCACCATCGACTACGAGACAGAAGTCTTCTCATCATCCTTCCCATAATCCCTTCTTCCTTTCACACTGTTTTTTGTCTCAAAATCTCAATTTCCCCTTCTATTAGGGTTTAAGCTTAAAAACCTAAGCCCATTTACATTTTTCTTCCACTAGGAATCATCTGAGTTGCTATTTTTCCTTTCAAACTGAACTCAAGTTCATAAACCTGACTCCAACCCATCTTTGAGTTTGGCGGTTCCATATTTTGAATTTTAAATCTGCCCAACCAAGACAAATTTGGATCTTCACTTCTCTATCCCCTTCTACCCCACCTCACCTTTTTTTGCCATAGATGCATACGAACTCCATAAACTCACCTCCAGCTTTGCACTAATGACTACCTCGCATTTGGGACATGGAAACATACAGGAGATAACCTCCAACTTCTACTCCTCCTTCTCTAGTGCCCACAACTTCATTGCAGTTTCTGGTTTACTTGGTTTTCTGAGAATTACACTACGCTTCCCCAACAGTCTCCACCAGCCTCTAGCTTGAACCCCTTTCTGAACAATTACTCATCTTCTTTCCTCCCCCTTTCTCTACATGAAAGTTAGAAATCTCCTACCTTCTTTCTCCCACATCGCCACCCAGAGCACGTGGCTCTGGCCAACCATGCTCCTGACCTACGATTTCTTCTCATTCTTCCAGTTAAAATTCATATATACATCCACACACCCAATCCATCTCCTCCATCCAAAATATAATGTCTGATCAAAAGCCCCTTCTATTTTCACTCAACTTTAGCACTTCTACTTGTTTCCCACTAATTACAAGACAAATATTTTTTCTTTCCACAACTAAAAAACTTTTGGCTGGGAATCAACATGGAGAGCACCCATGAATCATGTCTCCACGAACATTGTCAACTTATAAGCACAGAATAGCTCCCAAGGCATATAGAATTTTATCTCTCTAAAAAACTATAGTTTTCCGCCCACACAATGGCCTTGCGACCAGTCTAATTATCATGAATCTTCAACACTGTATACATATATATTTTTTGGTTAAAGATTAAGTAAAGTGAAGTACAAGATAGATGAAAAGGATTAGAAGATTAAATGATTGAGAGATCCATATAGCTCTAGCTTTTGGAGATCAATCACCAAGGATTGAGAGCATAAAAATAAGTCATCTAAATTTTTATTAGCTTTATTTTAAAAAATATTGAGTAAGAGACAAAAATTGAACCTCACAATTTATTGTGAATTTTCATGATTTATGGTCCATGATAGATTACACCTTGAATAAGCTTTGATTCAAATCTTGAATGATAAGATTCCTACAACACTGGTTGGAAGGATTCTAATGAGCATATTCATTTCAAGGTGGCCAATGGGCAAAAAGTTCATTTTTAGGATGACATTTGTTGCGCCTATCTCTGCTTCACATTTAGTTCCCTAATTTGTTACCATCGGCTAGAAGGAAAAATGCTCTTGCAAATAATTGTTTCTCAATGGTGGGTGGGTGGCCAAGTAATGAGTGCGGTGCAGGTTTTGAAGAAATTAAATTTTTGGGAGGAAGAAAAGTACATTTGCTTACTTCAAAGAATTGATACTATGTGAATTTGCCTATCTTGGAACAATGAGCCCATTCAGAAATTTTCCACAAACTCCTTCTCAAAACATCCATGTTCACCTCCCAGACCTTCCCTTTTCCCATGGCCAAATTAGAGGAAAAAAGC